CGGAGTCGAGGGATGGAAGGATGAATGGAAGGTCGCGTGAAAGGGGAAGAAAATTGCGGGATGGTTAGATACTCGTCCGTTCGTCGTCGAGATATGGGGCAATAATAATTGTTGGTCGTGATTTTGTTTTCTTTTTTTTTTTTATGTGTGTGTATCTGTGTGTGTGAATTGGAATCGCGTGATATTTTGGAACGTTTGATGTCGAGTTCGTTTGGAGTATACGAGAATCGAATTCATTTTTATCAATTTTTGAAAATGGATTACTCGATATATTTTTTTCTTTTGTTGAAAAAATTGAAAAGTGTTTTATTAGACAGTTGGTTTTAGATCGCATGAAGAATAGTGGTTTGTTATTTTTCGAGAGGATTAGATAGAAATTGATTAATAACGGTTACAAAAATATTTCAATTGTAAAAGTTTAATTATTTTCGATAAAAGTACGAGCTGTTTTACTACCGTTTCAAAAATCTCATTAAAAGCTCTCGATCGTTCTATCTCCAACGTTCCAATATCAACTTTTCTCTCGGTTTTATAATCGCATAGAATTAAACGCCCGTTAATAGAAAATATCGAATTTTATAGCCGGAGAGAACATCGCGTACAAGCGGAACTACGAGTCGAATTTTACCTTTACACCTCCACCTTCGCACCTCTTTTTATACGTATATTATCTTTAATTGAATTGCTCGCATTCCCCAACACTTGTCACGTGAAAATTTCCCTCGTGGTGACGGAAGGGGATGCATCGAAAATGCGACAATCTTTCAAATTGCATTCTCGAATTATCAATTGGGCTCGATAAAGCGTCAATCTAACGACTGCCTGTATCGACGATAGAGAGAATCGAGTATGGAAACTCGTCCATTCTTTCTCTCTCACTCTCTCTCTCTATCCCTCTGTTCGTAGTAAAATCAATTTGACGGAAATCAAATCGATTATACAGGAATGGGGGACGATCGAGTGAGAATTTTTAAAACGGCATCAAGCCAGGCCCGATTTTCGATAACTCACTTTCCCATCTGGCACGTTAATTGTCGCAATGTAATCAACCTCTGCTCCACACGTGTTAACCTCTCTCTCTCTCTCTCTCTCTTTCTCTTTTTATCTTCCTCCCTCCTCGTTGCTCGTGTAATCGTCTGTCCCATTGGCGTACCGGCTTTACCGATCGCGCTTTGTTAAATTTGTATGGACCGCTTTGTTCCCCCTCCCTCCTCCCGCATTGATAATGCGCGTCGACGGCCATTTCGAAAAAATATGATTCCGATAAAAACCTTTAATCGGCCCGATTCAACGCGGTTGAATCGTCACTCTGATAAACGTTCGAACGACGTCCAATTTACTCCTTCCTTCCGTTTTTTCATTGGCCAAAATCGACAACAATCTGGGATGTTAAATTAATATTTACGCGTACGGGTGTAACGCGACAACCTAATTCAATTAACGCGGCGTAACAGGTCCTTGGACAATGGAATTACCCTGTTTACACGCGTTTACGTGCATAACGGGTGAAAATAAATCTTGGTTCGTTCCTGTCTCGATAGAAACAACGTTCGATTTTTCCCCGAGAATTTTTCGCAATCATCATTACATATAATATTATCGTCCACAAGATTAATCAGTACAACGCGTTCACATTGAAAAATCGAGACTCCATCCGATAATCGGTTGAAAGTTTCCTTCTCCAACCCCTCCTTCCTTCCCTATCCCCTAAACCCGATTAAATCGCGGAATCGTTGGAGACGAGCATCCGTTCGAACGGAACATCTTGCTCTTTCTTCCGCCTCGTTTCCGGGCAACGAGGTTACGAGGAGCAAACTGTAAACCGTTTCCATGAATTTACCATTCGAGAATCGTTTATACGTGCATCCGGTTACGTAAACCGGTCAAAGGTTGGGCCGACGAGCCCCCTAAACCGTCAAAGGTTGATTGAATTCCGAACATCCGTTTGTCGGTCGGCATACTTCCGTGTTTGACGATGCACCGTGGACACGCAACAACGGTGGAAACAAGCGGGGGGATTCCGGCTCTGTGTTCGACGCCACCAACAATTATCCCGAGAATTTCGTAGTTTCGCAAAAATTGGGACGACATTTTTCGCGCGATTTCTTCATCACGGGCACGGGCGGAATGTTATAAAACGGGGAGGGTATATTAAAATAGTTGGCTTCGAATTTTTCACCGCCTCGTTCACTGATTTCGCGAATTCCTCGAATGTCATCCGTGTCGCTTGCGGCCGAGTGATGATATCGGTGGGGAAAAAAGGAAAAAAAAGAAAGCGGGAGCGCGGGGAATTTTTATTGCGTTTGGGAATAAAAATTTTTTCGAAAGGTTTCGAGCGAGTGAAAGATAATGGATGAATTATATCGTTTATTAATTATATGATTTCTTTGGAGGAGTTTTCTTTAGGTGATACAGGATTCTGTGATATGAAATAAAAGGTTTGAAAATAATTCTACAGGATCGCATACGATATTGGAATTATGCATTTCTATTTTCTCAATTGAAGTGAATTCGATGAGAATTTCTTGTTGGATTCTTATTCTTTTGGATTATTAGGAGTTTTTTTCTTCTTTTTTTTTTTTGATTTTCAAATAATTTCGTACTTAAATATTTATTAAATATAATATATAACCTGTATCGCGATATAATCGGCAAAAGTATCGAAATTATTCGAATATTATTTAATAAATATAGAATAAAAATCAAGAAACTATTCGCGTATGTTGTATTTTTATCAAGTATGAAAACATTAAACCAATATCTTCAAAACGGATAAATCGACTATTATCAACACGGATTCTTCTTCTCTCCGAAGAAAGAAGAGCGAAAAGAAGAAGAAGAAGAAGAAGAAATATTTTCTGCTTAATTGGTCCGAAATAACCGGAGACCAAAAATAATCAACAAGAATCGGGAATGAAAGAAGGGAGGAACGCGTGCTCGACGGTCTCTTTAATTTGTCTTAATTACCGCAAACCGGCGTTAACGAAGATTTTACGTCCGCTCGAATTAATTAAGGCCGGTTTCGAAAGTTGAGGAGGGGGGAGGAGGCGTTGTTAGTCCAGGCCGTGTCGTTCGTGAGGAGGAGAAGAAAAGAAAACAGGAGAAAACAACAAGAAACAAGCGAGGGCGGGCTTGCCGCTGAATATTCATATATTGTAATCAACCCCCTTTAGTCAAGGGGTTGCACCGTGAGGCGAGTTACCTGTTTGGATACCTGGCCACACTGGACCGAGGAACTAACGACGAATATCGATACGAGTTAGTGTACACGAGGAATTTGTTTGCTTTGAAACCGATAACGTGTATCTTTGTCTATATATCTTTGCATTACGATCTTTGAATTATGATTGTTTCTTGGAACGTATGGATCTTTGATTTTATACGTAATTGTTAATCACAGTAGGAGCATAAAATTTAATAATTGAAGTTGCGAATGAAGTTATTTATATTCATGAGTTACTTCAATAATTTATCGAAACAATTGACGAAAGCATAGAAAGAGGTTTTCAACAAGTTATCGACAAGTTTTTTTACTTCGCAATAATAATAATTGCAAATAATTGTACATGTATAGCTATATATATAAATGTTATTTAAGCAATTTTAAGTAATTGCTTAAAATAATTTTATTCGAAATTTTTAACCAGTTACTTTTTTTTCAACAGGTCAATGCCCAATCTCTGATGAGTAGTATTATCATTATGCTAAGGATTTAGGATATAGTTCAATTGCAAAATCAAACTTAATTAATCTGTTTCTTTCAAAGTTATTCGAAAAATAGAAAAAATTGGATAGGATGCGTCGTCCAATTTTGTTGCGAGATTTAGCAGTATGAAAATAAATAAATAAAAAAAAAAAAAA